TTGTCACTTGAGAGGAAGGTATTTATTGAAAACAAAACACAATTGTATATGGCGTAAACAGTAAAAAAGTGGACCGTGTAACAAATAAAAAAATAAAGTCTCACTAGGCTTTAGCGATAACTATATATATATATATATATATATAACTTTTACTATGATCTATTTGAAGATTTTATCTAGTAGTTTTTAACATATTCAAATATCAGTATATGATATACATGTGGATCTTTCTTCCTTTCAAAATTTGAACCTTCAATTCCTAATTGATCACTTAGGCAAGATGGGGTGGACTTTCCCTTCGAAAATCATTCACTAAAGCATTATTAAACTATAGAATTAAAAAATGTAAAGAAATCCCTTTTCCGCAAGAACATGATAAAACTGATTATAAAGTTTTTAGATTGTGTCCAAGGAACCACAATATGATGTTTCTACACACGCTAACCCTTCCCACACACCCATTTTTTGTGTATATATAAAACCCCAAATCAACTATTATAATCATCAACTATTATAATCATCAACTATTATAATCATCAACTATCATCTTTCTTGATTCAGCACTCTACCCCCATGGCTTCCTCACCAAACACAAAACTAGATGGTAGGCCATATATTTAATTATCTTTTACTTTTTTTAAGATAAAATATTTTTTTGGTCCCTTAATTTTCATTCTGGTTTTAGTTCTATACTTTGAAAATAATGTTTTTGATATTTTTATTTTTTATTTTTGATAGTTGGTGATTTTTTCCCTTTTTATAAAACTTAAGATACTAACTAGGTGTGAGACGAAAATAGCTAATTATTAATTAAAAATTTGATGATCAAGAATTGAGAATTAAGAAACTTAAAATGTACTTTACTCCTTCTTTTTTTTTTTTTTTTTGATGTATCTTTGTCTATATACCAATGTACGTATTTGCAGGAGTAGGTGGTGCTACTGGGATGAAACCCATTCCAATTCATGAAAACGTTCTGCAGAAGCATGTTGCCTTCTTTGACAAGAATCAAGATGGTGTTATTTACCCATGGGAGACTTATCAAGGTTTTTTATGCTTTTCCTTTCCCTTTAATGTAATCTTTATTAATTATTTTTATAATGTAATTAGTACGAAATAATTTTCTTGGCCCTCTGAAAAAAAATATTTTTTTATTAATAATTTTTATAATTTTTTAAAAATTTTATAATTTAAAAGTCATTTTTTGTATTCTTAAAAATTCATTTTGAAAGATTTATTTAAAAAAAAATATTCAAATATAATAATTTTTTTTATCAAAATCCATTTCTAAAATAATTTTTTTTATCAAAAGATATTAATTTTAAAAACATCTTATCTTAAAATTTTCTTTGAATCTAATAATATGTTGAACCAAACTGCATAGTATATAAAATTTTTGGAGGTTGTAACAACTACGAATATTGTAACTACATTTTAAAATTTTTATTGTTGATTATTTACTATTCCTTCCTATGTATATATGTGAGAAAAAAAAAACTGAAAAATTAGTTTTTTTTTTTTTTACCAATAACGAAATTAACAGAAAAACGAGTTTGATAGAGTTTATGAATTTTTTAGTTTCTATCATTTTTGTAGGGGAAATGCGGTATATATACAATAATTTGTACAATGTCGTCAATCTCTTTACTACATTTTAAATTTTATTTTTCTTTCTATCTCTTAATTATACAAATGGTCGCAGAAGAATCATTTTCTCTAATGGTGGGTTTTGATTAAATGCAGGTTTACGTGAAATTGGGAATGGGATCTTGTTCTCCTTTGGACTTTCTCTTTTCATCAATTTGTCCCTTAGTCAATCCACTCGTCCAGTACTTTTCTTTATTCCTTAAAACTTCTATTTTTTGACATTTTTATGTTAATTTGAGTATTTTATTGAAATAATTAAAATTACATTACAAGAAATGTTACACATAGTGACATACAAAAATATCACTATAGGTACAATACATGTAAGTATATGTTCATTTGACATATAGTTACCCATAATTTTAGTGTTGATTTTGAATGAGATTTAACAACATATTTTGTGTGTCACTGTAGCTTATATTCATACTTTTTAATAATATACCAACAAATATTGTAGTTATTATGTAGATAAAAGTAATTTTTAATGACGTGTATAATGTCACTATCGGATGTGTTACTATGTAACAATTTTCTTATAGTGTTATTATCTTAACTTTATATCTTTGTTTCAATAAATATCTTCTCTTTTTTTATTACACAAAAAAAAATTCTTTTCTTTATCAGGAATTACAAAATATATTTCATGTCTCAGCATGAAATTAAGTAATTAATTCCGTCGTAATTAATAAAAGTTACTCATAAGTAAAAAAGTCCAACAAAAAGTATTTGTACGTTAAAATGGAATTTCCCCATTAAAGTAATAATAGATAGATTGATTTATAAATTTTAGACATTTATCATTCACTCATTGTTATTCTCAAAATCAAAGATTTTCCATCAATGACGATAAATAAGTATAAAACATACTATCAATTTCATAATAAGCATTAAAAGAAAAAATAAATCTTAAAATAAGTATAATATTAACTTTTCAATAATATTAATACCTCTATATCTCTAATAGTATCTTTTAAAAAAATTCTTATTGTTACATTATTCTCAATAAAAAGATTAGTTAATTATAAAATTAACTTTGCAAAATTACTATTTTCTCTCATGTTTATTAAGTTTTTTTTATTTATATAAAGAAATTTAAGATGACACTTATATTGTAAGATATAGAAAGTACAAAATAAATAATGTGCAAAGATCATTATTTTTTTTTTCTTTCGTAATTTGATACATATGTTGAACCCAATAATTTCAATATTTTTAGAAAAATATTTATGGTTAAATAAAATTTTATTTTTTGGCCCATATAATTTTATGATAATTAAATGAATTATAAAAGTGAACTTATCTAATCAACATTTGCATTATAAAGAGATAATAGTTTATTCATTCACAACTTAAAAGAGTTTTTTAGCCATCATAAATGCCATAAATCCAATTATTTTACCAAAAATAATCCAATATACAGAATACAGTATTGATTTGTAGGAAATATACGTTTGTTAACTTTTATAAAATTACTTTTAAAGTCATATATTTATATAATCTCTTATTGATTGACAGTAATTTTTTTACTTGTGAATGCACATATAAATTAAACTGGTAATAAAATATTAAAATATATATGTCTGAAAGCACATGTCTCTCTAGGAGGATAATTACGTCCCAATTGTCTAAGGCGCATGAATGTGACATTTTAATAAAGATTGGTTCCATCTTTTATAATATTATTTATTTTATTTCTAAGATCTATGTTGATATCAAATTCAAATATTTTCATGAATAAGTTGGACATCAAATTATAAGAAATCCGGTCCATGTATGTGGCAACATGTTTGGTTTGCTCAAACCAATGCACCTCGAGTCCATCAACTTTAGTGTGATCTCTATCTGATGCAACAAGACTCACACCTAAGTGTCACAAACTTCTACACAAAATTCAAAAGCCTCTTGGACAAGCTAGGAGAATGTTGGTCGCAAAATGATCCTATTTAGCGAGGGATATAAATCCAAGCTATTTCCTCGCTAATTAGCGAGGGATTGGAGAGGAACTGTGTTCCTCGCCCGTCCCTCGCTAATTAGCGGGGAAATAGCTTGGATTTATATCCCTCGCTAAATTCCCTCGCTAATCTGCGAAATTCTTGTAGTGATTAGTGGTAGAGGCATCTGGTTCCATCTCTGGCAAAGAAGGTTCCATTTAATTTTTTTGTCCTTTACAACTGTCAAACCAATAAATAAATAAATAAGAACTTTCAATTTTTATAATAAAATCAAATATAAAATTTTTATATGAACTTTTCGGTAAAAACTTAATAAAAACTAATTCACAGATGAACCAATGACCCAATAATCAATAAAAAATCCCATTTGATAAATTAAAATAAGCATTACCCGTTATTTGATTTTACAAAAATATCATATACATTTTCTAATGAAGATTAGTCTGGTGAATATTTCATGTGAATAATATGACTAAAAAAAATGCAATTTTTAGTCCAATGCAATAGAATTATCTAACCTGACCAGCAAGCGCTAGCTAGAGCATCAGTGAGCAAAGAAATAGACAACCAAACTTGCATGCAAATTTGATGACCTACCATAGCTACAGGACCCTGCTTAGCTACCACAGATGTTGACAGTGTTATAGTTATAAACACAGCCAAAGTCCTAGCAGTAAAAAGACCACCTACAAAATGCAATAGTTAAAAGTAAATATCAATCTGCTTTGCTCTTTAACTCATAATGTATTCTGTCAAGTCATAGAAGTTGTTAACCAAAATAAACATTTTCAAGCTAATGAAAGTCATTTTTAATAGGCAAATTCAAATATGCGACCAACTTCATCTTTAAGAAGCAATGTAATCTTAGCATCCTCCGAAAATGGACATTGTTCAATAAAATTATAACATATTTTAATTCAATCAATCATCTCAGATCTACTAAGAAACACAACTGCATGTAGAAAGTAGGTTTCATAAAAAATAAATTCAACTTTGACATATTTTATATCATGAACTACAATTTGATCTTGAAGAAATATTGTGGTTGGACAAAATATATCCTTAATAGTTTGCGAAAAGTCGCATTCCAACTGACTTGGCATTAAACAGTGCTACAAATGGAAAACAACCACTTATGTATCTTCACCTAACCATTTAAGCATTTGGGATAGTTGGTTCATTACATTGTATCAGAGCCTCTATCATGTTCAATCCTTGCTACCCTTGTTCTAATAAAAAGTTGAATTTCATCAAAAGGTAGGTGGGCCAGTCCCCACATCAAGTCCAAAGGGCTATTGCATTTTTTCTTTTACTTGTTATAAAATATATCCTCAACAACTTAAGCGTTTGGGATAGTTGGTTCAAGACACAGTAAAATCCAATTTGAATCAACAAGTTAAGTCTCCCTGGGGCTGAGAGTTTCAAGCAAAAGACAGAATGAAATGCAAGATTAATAATAAAAATTAAACAACTTCAAGCATAAAATCAATAGAAACAAAAATGTTATGTGATCCAAATATTCACACTAAGTTAATTAATTCTAAAGACATGGTATTGTTTTGTTGTGATACTCAGTTAAATTTCCTATCCACAATCATGTGCAGACGAAGCTAAATTTGCTTTCCTCAATCATGCAAAGATGAAGCTTAGGAAAATTTCAATGGCATACTGCAAAAACTAGCAATCATCTTTCCGATTAACTCTGATCATATAATTATCACTACCAATTTTTCTGGAAGAGAAAGGACAGCCAAAGCAATAATTCAACTTAATTGTGCGTACCAGATTTCAGATAGCTGAAAATTTTTCTCCCATCAAATTCAGAAGGGACTAGTAGAACTTCGCCACTCAATTTTCATACTATTAATATTAATATTGGATCCAATACGACATTAAGAAAGTTTCCCGCACCTGACATTCCAAGACAAGCTTTCATTATTTACACATCTAGCAAACCTAAACATCAAGCAAGCTCCTATTTCTTAAAATGTAAAATGTGTTTGATGCTAGTCTATGAATGTGATCCTTTACTTCTAAACTAGACCATTTGATCACTCATAATGCAGGGAATTAAAGTCCAGCAAATTGCCTACAAATTATCAAACACATGGAGTGCAAGCAACAAAAATATTTCCTTTACTTATGCAGAGCAAACCAAAATAGAACAGAAACATCCAATTGTTCAATCAAAATCAAATAACCCATTAAAAGTGAAAAGTGAAGAGGAATCGGAGGACCCACCTGTGAGTTTGCCACACAATCAAGGGTGAATAATGAAGAAGAATCAAAAGAAGTGAAGAAGAATTAGAAGAAGTGAAGAACCACCGTTGAAAAGTGAAGATTGAAGAAAAATTGGAAGACCCACCCCACGTCTCCGTGAGTCTGAACGTACTGGTAGTCTGGACCTGTGATATGCTTGTATTTCGTTTCCTTTAGTGAACTGCACTATTAATTTTAATAGTTCAGCTTTATAAACTACACTAAAAGTAATAGTTTGGTTTAAACTATTAAAAAATAATTTAGTTTATTTTAGTTTAGTTATTTGAAAAGTTTAGTTTAAAATAGTTTTGTGAACACCCCTAGCAGCCATGCAACACCTACAAGGCCATCTCTACTTGAGACAACCACAACTAGCTGTACAATGAGACAACAAGACCAAAGACAAAGACAATGTACAGTGATGGTATTACCGAGGTTGCTTGACCTCCTGCTAGTCGTGCTAACGCGACACCATTTTTCCACATTCATGTTGGGATCTTGAGACTGTCGTACACACACAACCATGGCTTGGATTCTTGCGGGGAGAATGAGGCATGGTGTTGGAAAAAAGGGCTTCAATTTTTGTAATAGTTGATGGCCTCTTCGAAAGCCATGATGTGGCATGCTAGCTCATGTGAGCACTACACCTTTGAGGGAGGGAATGATGTCACTTTTGCATGTGCGTTTTTGGCCTGAAGCCAGACATAACACATACAACAGTTTAGCAGTTCGTGGTGGTGTTTCCGCAACGACATTCACGATGGCACATGGTTATGTTCCATTTTCATGAAAGTAACCATTGCATGCATGAAGCTAAGGGGCTCTTGACAACCGGCACTTGTTGCAACCATGCACACCATCACAAACTTGAGACTAAGCATGGAGCTTAACTTATTAAGAAGTAAGGGGGACAATGTGTGTGCTTGGATCTTTAGATTCCTTGTCACGGTTTGGTATGGTTATTAATGCGAGATACACGACAACAACTTCAGATTCCCTATCATTTAATTAGGATAGACTCTAATCAATTTGTTGATTATATCAGTTTGTTATTCCCATATATCAGTTTGTTACCTATGTGTATATATAGGAGTTCCATATATGTTATTCAATCAATCAATAAAATAAAATCCATTCGTCTATAAGCCTCACAGTGCCATGCTGCCATTTTATTATGGCATTAGAGTTGGTCGATGGGGACATGGAGAAGAACCATGCTTCTGGCAATGGAGAAAAACACCTCATGATCACACCATCATCACCATATTACCTCGGGTCATCTGATAATCCTAAGACGTCGTTGGTTGCAGTTCCACTCACAGGTGAAAATTATCGCAACTAGGCTCGATCTATGAGGACAACCTTGCGTGCGAAGACAAAACTAGGATTTATTGATGGAAGCATTAACAAATCGACAACAAAATCACCTGAGTACAAAGATTGGGAGAAAGTTAATTCCATGGTGACAACATGGATCATCAATTCGACTGATCCTACCTTGCACAGAAGCATATCTTATGCTACCACTATAAGAGATGTTTGGCTTGATTTAGAAGAAAGGTTTGCTCAAACCAATGCACCTCGAGTCCATCAACTTTAGTGTGATCTCTATCTGATGCAACAAGACTCACACCTAAGTGTCACAAACTTCTACACAAAATTCAAAAGCCTCTTGGACAAGCTAGGAGAATTGTAGCCATTACCACAATGTAGTTGTGGTTGTACCTGTTATATATTAATTTTGCTGTTTAAAAAAAAAATGTGGCAACATATTTATAAGTATAGTGACTGTAGGGAATTTATATACAAAAAGACTTAATATGGTTCTTATGTTGTATAGGGGAAATTTCCATCTATACTTTTCCCAATTGAAATTAAGAACATCAAACTCGGCAAACATGGCAGTGACACTGGAGCCTATGATACTGAAGGAAGGTATACTTATTTTTACACATTCCATTAATTCCATATATCTTTATTGTTTTGCAGATAATAATTAATTTATGGTAATTCTTTTAGGTTTGTTCCTTCAAAATTTGAAGAAATTTTCACAAAACATGCACATACTCATCCAAATGCTTTAACACATGATGAGCTAAAGGAGATGATAAAGGAAAATAGGGAGCCCAAAGATTTAAAAGGAAGGTTGGTTTGTCATTTCTATTATGGAATCAAAAGTTTTATTATAAGAAAATTTTCACATAATAACACATATTTTATAGTGATGCAATATATGTTACTAAAAATTACTTTTATCTACATAATGAATATAAATATGTTAATATATTGTTAAAAAATACGAATATAAATTATAGTAACACGTAAAATATGTTAATAAATTTTATTCAAAATTAACATTAAAAATATATATATATATATATATATATTTATTGTATCTAAGGAAATATATTTTTTGTATGTTATTATATCTAAATTTTTTTATAATGTTTCATTATTAATTATTATTCTCTCCTAACCAAAAAATTAAAAATCATTGACATATATTGGAACCATAATGCACAGGATTGGTGGCGAGATTGAATGGGAAATCCTTTACAAAGTTGCCAAAGACAAGAATGGCTTACTAAAAAAGGAAACAATCCGAGGTGTTTATGATGGAAGCTTGTTTGAACTGTTGAAAGAGGAACATTCAGGGCACAAAAAGAAGTGATTCAATCTTTTTTATATGTTATGTAAAAGGAAGAAGTTGTTCGTTGTGAGAAAGCTGATTTATAAGAACAGATGGCCAAAATATAACAATTTAGTTTGTCTTTAAGCTTTATTTGTTCAAGTTAAATATATCTATGTCATCTATATTAATCTTATCTATTTAAATAATATTTGAAGCTTTCTTTTACAAGAGTTACTTTTTCACTCAATGTCATTACTTTTCTTTCAAGGATATAACATATATTATTAATTTTATTACTCTATATATTTTCTTTGTTACCGAAATTCAACTCATATCAATATTATATTATAAAATTTATTATCGTAATTAAATCGATCTAAGTAGTTATTTCATATAATTTAATAGTCAAACTAAAAGGTTACTTGTTAAACCAATTAAATTGGTCTATATTAAAAATTAAAATAATATAATTAACATAATTTAAGATATTTCATATATTAAAAATAAAATTATTATCATACTAAATAACAAATATCACATATTTAAATTTTAAATTTTAAATTACAAGACATGATTAAACAATTCCATACTTTAAATTTAAAAACATTGTCAATACTCAATATCCAAAATAACAATTAAATTAAAATTCATAATAATTAAGTTCATAAACATTAAGTTCATAAACAACTAAAATAAAGTCCATGACACAACTTTTTAAATAAGTTTAAAAATTAAATTATAAATAATATTAACAAAAAATTCATGCCAAAGTTATTAACATTTCAAAATACAACTTTAACAAAGTCCAAATACATTTTTTAAAAAGAATTGAAAAAGGTTTGGGTTAAATAACCTTTTAGTCCTTATTGAAGATTAAAAAAAAAGATCAAAAAGAGGAAAATAAAGTTGATTCTTAATCAATTGATCATTGAAAATTATATCAATAGAAATACAAATTGTTCGTTTTATGTTGCACAAAATATTTCAACTTTAGTAATTCCTTGTATAATTGATCCTAACTAATTAAATGAAAAATAGAAACTAATAGTAATATAATAAAAAAACATTGATATCTAAAAGTTGAGTTGTAATATTTTGTCTTAAGTTGGGAGGCAACCAGATGTTGAAATATCTTTCACACTCAAGAATATAAAAATTGTATTACATTCTCTTACTGTTACCTAGAAGATCAAATACAAATAAAGCTTAAGAAAGAAGAATAAAATAAGAAAAAAAAAACAAAAATAGCTCCTAAAGAGTGAAAAGAATAAAAAGGATAGAAAAATGCCTCTTCTTAAGAGGTTGTTAAGAAAGAGAGTTAGCTTTCTTTAAAAAGTAAAATCAAGAGAATTTTCTATCTTGAACAAATTCCTTATTCCACAACTCAATGAGTTGGTGAACAACATTATTCCTTCTTTTTAGGAGAAAAAAATTAGAACAAGCTTTTCAACCCCTAGAAAGTGAGCTCTCCAATGTGCACGTTCTAATCATCCAATCATCCCCTAATTTTTGTTGCCACAAAGGTCCTCCCACATCTAAGAAGTTTCTAAGGAAAAGCATGCACGAGGTTTTGAAAATGAGCTTCTATGAAGGAGCGTCGCTTTGCCCTTCCTCATCGTTGCTCTGTCCGACCCCTCCCATTGCACTACTGTGCTCTACCCCCCCTATTTTCTTTGTTTTGCTCCGTTTCACCTCTCCCCCCACTAATGGAGCTTTTATTACAAACCAAAATTACTTGTTCACTAAACCTGACAAATCCAAGAATTGTTACTCGACTTACTCGATGTAATAATTCATCAATTATCGATTGAAAATGAAGGAGCTTAGTTTTTATTGGTTTCAAAAATTTGTTCTAGAACCTACTTAAAACCAATTGTTGTTCAAACATATCATTAACACATTCGTTTGTGTCACAAGTGTTGATCAAGCTTAAGATGAAGACATGGTCTTAGTTGATTTTAATGATTACAAATAAGCCTCTTGAAAGATAAGCGTGCAACTTGTAGTGTTGATTTGTGTTTTGATCCTCTTGAAAGAAAATAGTGCAAGTTGTATCTTGTTTGTGTGTTTAAAACTTTGTTACTTGTGTGCTTTATGTGCTTAATAAGTAACTTAGCCTTAAATCTCTATCTTGATGATGATTAATGAAGAAAATAAGTTTTAAAATTGATTTGTAAAGAGAAATGATATGAAAAATTGAGATATTAAGTTTGATTTAAAATAATCGATTAAACTATTCTTGATTGATTTATAGAACTACTAAGAACAAAATAATCGATTATTCGTGTAAATAATTGATTATTTTAGACAAAAAAATCTATATATATATATATACACCATTTTTCACACTTAAAATAGAGAGAGACTTAAATCTTAGTGATATCTTTTTTAAAAAAATTCTTTGAGAAACATTTTTTTTTGCAAGAGGTTCTTTATCCTTTATGGTAACTTCAAGAAAGGTTTTAAGAATTGAATTGATCATCATGTTCATGGAGTGAAAGGATAAACTAATTTGGTTGGTTCACTTAATTTGATTTAGTCTATACATCAGGTGAATTCGTTTCTTAACTTATGTGTTGTGTTTTTCTTAAGTAGATTTCTTAAGAAGGGGGAAATTTTGTAGTACTTGTACTTCTTGGGTGCAAGAAGTGGTTTTTTTAATAGTGTATAAATCTATTTCATGTGGTATTGTGATCGTAAAACTTCAAATATTAAAGATTAGTGGAAAATCTCAATCAAGTTGATTGGGGATTAGATATAGGTCACAAGTGGATGTGATTAAACTAGTATAAATTGGTTGGACATTTTTCTCTCTCCCTACACTTGACTTTACAATCTTATAGTTCTGTTTCTATGTTTGTTGTTATGTGTTGTGAAGCATAAACATTGCATATAGTATTGAGTGAATTTAGACTTGGATTGAATCTTAACTTAGTATCATATATACAACTATAAATCAATGTACTTGTTTAGAAATATTTAGGAAAAAAAATTTCAAAATCAAGAAAATTGCATAAGAAATTTTTAAGCCACTAATTCACCCTCCCCCCTCTTGATTAGACCATCTTTTCTAACAAGGACTAAAAATATATTTAAGCGAAAAACAAATAATTTTCTTAAAATTTTGGTCAAATTATATTTTAAAATTAATGCTTTTAATGCTCAAATTTTTTATATGCAGGATATTTCATCTATGATTCTACTTCATTTTGACTAGAAAATAAATAAAATATAATACATTTCAAAAAAAATATGAAGATCTAAAGTATCTATATAGAAAAATGTAATGACTAAAACAAATTTTACCGAAATTTAAAAGAATAATGCTAAATGTATGACAAAAATCGTATAATAATTAGTACGTCACTACTTGTATTTTTATCTCTCTCAATCATTAATAATAGGTTTAAATATAATTTTCATTTTACACCTTTTCACTTTTAAGTCCCGTAAAATTTTTGTTGTTATTTTCTCCCTAATCTTTTATAATGTTTTCAAAAATTGTCCCTATTGTCAACTCATTAAAAAAAATTCTCACGTGACAAATAAAACATATATTATATTCATTATATTCCACCTCACATTGTCACTTAGGTAAATTGATTTTATTATTCTTAGACAAAATTTGAAAATGCACTTCACTGTACCTTCACCCTCACACTCACCTTCACAATTAAGTTTTCCCTCTCCAATCCTAATCTAATGCCATAATCCCTAAACCCCCTAATCTCAACCCCAATCCCTTAATGAGAAGCAACTTCTCATAATTCGTGATCATGATAACAACACTTGTTGGTTCAAGACATCAAGATCGTTGGCACCTATCAATCGTCATTGCAATGGCAAGCAAGACATCTCATCAGAGAAGAGAGGCCAACGGTTCTAGTTTCATCATTGACGACAACCAATATGTGGCATTTCATAATCCGAAGAGGGTGTGCATGAAGAGTATGATGAAGTTGTTGGAACCATGGAAGTATAAAATAAGATATCATTTTTCATTGAAAGTACATCAAGATCAAGATCAATTAATGATAAAATAAATAGTAACCGAAATAAAATAAGAAAAAGGTTTATAGAAGTTTGGGTTGAAGCATGCTTGGTGTTATTCTTAGAGAGAAAACACCCTCACTACACTGGTAGCTTATTTTGTAATGTGCTCCTCTCCCAAGATACAACAACCCGTCATGTGCAGCTAATGATCTACAAACCATAGAACATTAATCCAAAATATATTTAGTAATAGAAATAATTTTTAAGGAGGAAAGATGAGTGAAGTATTGTTTGTATCTTTATTGATTGATGAAGGTAAAATATATAGAGCTGATGTAGCTTGTGCAATGTTACGAAATAGGAACAATCTCAACGTGAACAAAATCATATTGTGACTAGGTCAAATTAAGGAAATAAATAATAATAATATAAAAGAAAAACTATATCATAAATAATAACTAAATTAATAGGATTTAATTTATAAAAATGTCAATAAAATCTAATTAAAATATTAAAATATTAAAATAGAAGTTGAATAAATAAAATCTAATTAAATTTTAAATTATAATAATATTCTCCAACAATCCCCACTAATTTAAAAATTAAATAAAGAATCCAAATTTTATGAAAACCTTAAAAAACAATTTTTAATGGAGCATGAAATATTATTTTTTTTAATATAAGGAACCTTCCAGGTTTGAGCTTTATACTTAGTGTATATGAACTTCTATCTAAGGAAAATATGAAGACTTATTGTCTTGAACTATATTACCTTTAACCAGGCTTTGGAACGTAACACAAATAATATAGGTGTTCATTTTTTAGTTCTAATCAGTGGTGCACATTACAATCTTGTGCGAGTATCTTGTTTCATGAGTGTTACTTAAAGATTTGTTCATATCTCATAGTGACAGCCCCACCACCACATCACTAGTTGAATCTTTCAAAGGGTGACTTGTGACCCTCACCTCCACAATTATTGGCGTTAGGTTCATTAAGAGGTATTTTAATTTTAACACAATAAATAAAAATATTTGAATACCTCAACCTTATAGTTATCATAGTTTAAAAAAATACACCTCGCCATAGGAATAGGAACAAGAAGATCTCCATATAATAAATAATTTTGGTGTATATTAGCCAACAAACAACTTCGTTGTTACCCATTGAACTCTATTCATGGGATCACGATTCACATAGAGTTGGGTATCCGTCGTTGTGACTAATTAATGATCTTTAATCCTATTCTCCTTAATGATTTAATATGTTTCTCTCTTTATATGTGAATCCGCAAGATTTCTTTAGGAAAATAATTTCACTCTCCATGAGACCATTTTTGTCAGTTAGCCATGGCTAAAGATGATCATAAGAGCATCATGATTCTGACACATTTTGTTATCTACAACTAACTGGGTAAAAAATTAACATGGTCAAAGCACTATAAAAAATTGTAAAATTTTTTTGAATTAAAATATTAAAGAGAATAAATAATAAAATATTTAATTTAAATATCATGACTTCCCATCACTATTGAACCATATGACAAATCACGTTCATTGGGTTGTCATTCTCTACTCTTATCTCCACATTTTCATAGATTACACAATTTATTCTCCATGAAAATTTATTACCTTTAAACCAACATTATTTGACATTTGTATTCTACTACATCAAAATAAAGTTCATCAAATATAACCAATTTATATCATTGACATGTAAAGTAATAATTTCTTTTTCCATGATAAAAATGATTTTGATTTAGAATTAGGTTTTCTCTCTAAGATTTTTAGAATCGAAAATAAAAAAAATATAATATATTATTTTTCACTGAAATTACATGATCAAGATTAAGATCAAAAAATGATAAAATTAAATAATAACGATTGAAATAAAATAAGAAGAAGGTTTAGATAATTTAGGTTGAAACACACTTGACGTTATCCTTAGAGAAAAAACACCCCACTACACTGATAGATTATTTTGCAATGCGCTCCTCTCTCAAGATACAACAATCCGTCAAATCAATCGTGTGCAGTGAATGTTCTTTGAACCAAAGAACACCGCTCCAAAATATATTTAATAATAGAAATGATTTTTGAGGAGCGGAGATCAGTGAAGTGCTATGTCTTGTGTATCTGTATTGATTCATGAAGATAAAATATATAGAACTAATGTAACATGTGCAATGCTACAAAAGAGGAACAATCTCAATTGTGCACAAAACCATATTATAACTAGGTTAAAGGAAACAAATATCAATAATATAAAATAAAAATTGAATCTTAAATAGTAACTAAATTAATATAATTTTTAAAATTGTCAATAAGAACTATTTAAAAATATTAAAATATTAAAACATAAATTGAATAAATAACATTTAATTGAATTTTAAGTTATAATAATATTCTCCAACTTAAGTGAAATTTATTTTTAAAACTTTTCAGAAAAAAATTGTCTGTGATAATAGTGAAATGAAATATAATAATTATAAAATACATTTTATTTGTCATATAGGATTGTTTCTAATAAAAGGTGACAAAACAGATTATTTTTGAAATATTTTAAAAAGTTAGGGATGAAACAACAATAAAAACAATTACAAGGACTAAAAAAAAAAAATAATGAAAAAATAAAAAAATAAATACAAAATTAACGTTGTAATAATGGTTGTATAACTTTTTGTTACACATATAATATTACTCAATTTGAAATACCCTAAAACATATTTTCCTCTTTAAACTTTTTATTTTCCAAGAAAGAATTAATCAAATTCTGGTAGATGTAAATGTTAGATGCAAATTGACCTCAAGCCCTCAACCGAACACATGATCATCTTCAAGGCCCTCAACCGAACACATGATCATCTTATATATACCATAAATTAACTTGTGCCTACTTTTGCGGGACCACCAAGTGATGGAACTGTAGCTGCAAAAAATCATTCAAATCTTGAACTACAAACAAGAACATGACATAACAGATCACTACAGCTGTTGCGTTTTGTGCACGAAGCAGCATAAGATGGGTAATATTGATTATGCAAGATATATGGGTAAGATGGTTTACACGTGTCAAATTAACAGGGCAAATTGTGTTTTATGTGTGACATATATATTTTCACACCTATATATACACGAACCCAGAACCCTTATCTATCTTAATCCCAATTTAGAAGCTTTTTTCTTTCTGAATTTGCCTCCTTCTTGATTCAGCATTCTATATCCCCACATGGCTTCCTCGATTAGCTCAGTGAACAAAAACCAAGAGGGTATGCCATAAATTTTTCATTTTTTGTTTTTAGTGTGGCTTTGGTTAATTTCTACCTTTTCAACAAATGTACATTTTTGCAGGAGTAGCCAGTGGCGTTGAGGAAAAACCCATCCCACTTAATGAGAACGTTCTGCAGAAGCATGCTGCATTCTTTGACATGAATAAAGATGGTGTCATTTACCCATGGGAGACTTTTCAAGGTTTCCAATGCTTTTCCTTTTCCTTCTTATATAATAAATAGCTTTTCTATCTTCTTATGAAGGGTGGAAATGAAGAAACAAAATATACAACCATATATTAATTTGAATTAAAATTGACTAATTTCAAATCTCAATTGTAATGACATTGTAGACCCTCGAAATTACATTGTAATGACAATTGTTGTTACATTGATCACATATGAAAGGTTGTTTAATTAAGATTTTGCATGAGTGACTATGATTGCAATTCGAAACTTAGAAATCAACTTAACATATATGTTTACTCACTTTAAATGAGATAATATGCAGAAAGAAAAAATAAATTATAGAACTTGTCAACTTTTGAGTTTAAAATGTTTATGGTTGAGTTTTGAATGAGTGCAGGTTTGCGTGAAATTGGGACTGGGATTTTGTTGTCTGTTGGAGGTGCTGCTTTCATCAACTTATTTCTCAGTCAGGGAACTCGTCCTGTAATTCTCTTTATCCCTTTATAACTTTTTTTCTTGGATTGTATATTTTAAGTTTAGTATTAGTTATTTTCCCAATTCTAATATTTTAATTAATTTTTAGATATTTTTTAATTGACTTATTTGTAATTGATGTAATAGTTTTTTTAATATATATTTTCACATTTAATATTATTAGACTTTGATAAGTGAATAAATGATGGGTAATTTTGTTTTAATGATTTGGGATAAAAATTAAGGTTTTTTCCTATAGTAACCTATATATTTTAAAAATGGAAATGCTGTATTGTTTAGATTTTCCTTAATGGATTAACTCGCACCGTTACTCAACAAAATAGAAAAATGTAAAATGATGAGGATGAAGGATTATTTGAATTTCCTTTACTTTTGAACTAATTAACGATTGGTCACGGAATACAAGAAAAACGGTGGAGTGAAATGAAGTTCAACATCGATTCCATGATTCCATCACAATTAATAAACGGTTGCCCCTAAAATATACAATGGAACCAGTGAAGTTTTGTCGTTGATTCAATATTAATAACTTGTTTTAATTTTAAAATATTATTAAAGAAAATAAATTGCTAAGAAATTGTGTATCTTTTTTTTTATTTTTTTTTATTTATCAAATATTAAATAAAAGTAATGAAAATCGAATATAAAATCTTCATGAATCTACCCCACCGTTAGATTGATTCTTTGTGCGGTGTCTATATTCTATGTTATCACCTATGGATAACTTGGAGTGGGAAAGATATTTAGATGTCTATTGTTAATCTAATTTATTTATATAAAATTCAGTTCAATCCATCTAATTAATAAAAAAAACATAAATTCGAATTGGATGATCATATAATTTAGTAGATAGTTTTTAATCTAAAATAACCTAGCAGTCCTCTAAAAAAAAGAAAAGAAAACTAACAGTAATAGAGTATACATGTATAAAATTATAAATTTAAATAATTTCTACTTATAAAAGAAAAAGTTTATTAATATAATTTATTATTCTTGTTTTCAAATTCTATGAACAGTTAAATTAACACTTTAAACATGAGTATTTTGATTCGTTTGTGTAACAAATTTAACCAAATTCGACTCAACGTAATCAAATTTACTCAAATTATTTTTATTGACGTATGAAAGACATTCTTTTTTGAAATAATGCTAAAAAAAAGTTTAACTTAAAAAAATTTTATGAGTGGATAAAATATCTGCTTGTAAAAAACTTGTTAATAGATAAATCGAACAATTGGATCACAGACATAATTTTTTTTAATAGATCAGAGATAGATTAATAAAGTATTTCTTTCATTCGTATCCATTATAACAAGAATAAAAATCCATTTCCTTCCCTTTTGAGAGCACTAAGATAACATTTATTCCGTTCTAATGGTGTAATTCCATCTTTACTTAATTTTTCCAATTGAAATGAGAGCACTAACATAACATTTATTCGGTTCTCGTGGTGTAGGGCAAG